TATTGCTCATGTGAGTCCGGAATCTGTAATTAGCGTTGGCCTCTAAAGTAGGCTGAGCTGACAGTTCCAGTTCCACTTCTGTCCCATCAGTTCTCACAGGCTTTGCTGACATCCTCATCTGATCAATCCAACGCCGTGGAGTTCCCTGTTTCCTATCCAGCACTATGTTATACCTGCTGGTGTCGCTACCAAATGCCCACAGGCCGATCAAACGCATGTTATGGCTACACGTGATGGTGATGTATGAATCCAACTCGCTGAGATCAGTACGGATCCTGTTTCCATACAAAGAGACTGCAGGTGCTGGACTTACTTTGAATGGTGATGCGTCAGTCCCAGATATACATAAGAAACAGAATAATTTTGTACATTCATCGCCTGATAATATTCCAGATGGAACTACCGTTTTGGCAAATTCCTGTATCCCCATTGCTGTGAAGCCAAGCTCATACACTGACTCCCCAAGAACTTGTCGCTTGTTTTCTGGAGTGCTTTCTAATTCCCTTCGCTTTATTTCTTCCTCAGCCCACAAGATGGCAGCACCAAACATTCTTTCCGGTTTTACAATATACTCCTCTCCATTAACTGCACTGACAATGTTTTGGAAACACGTTTGACACAGATCTTTGAAGCTATAGCTCTCTAGTGCAACATCTCCATTCTGAACAATAACCTTCAAGGCCCTATCAAACAGTGTTTCCTCATCAAAGACGTGGGCTTGTTCCAAAATGACACAAGCGTTCTCTGCCGTCAGGGACGATTCCAGGTAAGCAACACAAAGACGCTCTAGACCCCCAACGGCGTATTTCTTGGCCAGGTACAACAGACCTGTCACATTCTCAGCAGTCAGGGTTGTCGTGTCTGTATACAGAAATCTGCAAATATATATGTATTTTACATCGGGAAATTTCAATAAAGGACTATGTACAGTAATAAGTACAAGTGGTAAAAGCCTTTTTTTCACAAAATGAACGTTTATGGCAGGAAATGTATTACAGTATATTCATGGCACTGGCGAACGACCTGGGAAGCTTCGGGTTTTCCTCCCATATCAGGCTGACACACCCTTGCATCTTGACATGCTGTTCAAAGTGACGTTGTAATAAACACACTCACTGTTCATAACGAGGAGACCCGTGAAGGTCCGGGTTAGAATTGATCTTCAGTAACCCATGCTTGTCGTAAGAGGCGACTAACGCCATCGGGTGGTCATATATATATATATATATATATATATATATCTGGAATATGGCTGAGAACTAAACTCACTCACTCATAACGTGAACGTGAATGCAAAATGCACGCTAGTCCGCTAGTCCGAGACAGTAAAATCCTGAATTAAAAATGCTGGTAGTCCTCGCTCACTGGTAGAGGTTGATGGCTATAATTCTGAATTCTCGATTCCTTAATTTTGTTACAGATTGAAACTGAATAAACTGACAGATATTTTTTGTCTCTTTCAACCAAGGTGAGTGAGTGAATGTTTACAGCAGATTTCAGTTTTATCATGTGGTGTCAGTGTGTGGGAAACCGAAGCTTCGAGGGACGTGTGGTTTGGTTTGGTTGTTGTTTAACGCCACACTCAACAATATTTCAACTATATAACAGCGGCCTGTATATAATGTAGTCTGGGCCAGACAATCCAGTGATCAACATCATGAGTATCAATCTCAGTCATTGGGATGCGATGACGTGTGTCAACCAAGTCAGCGAGCCAGACGGTGCCCTGACCACCCGATCCCGTTAGTCGCCTAACCCGGATCCTCATGGACCCGAGGGACTTTTAGACACCGTCTACAAGACGAACAAAGCACAACACTGACCATCACCTACCTCAACATGTCATTAAATATTTCTTCCTCTACATCAGGTATCCTTATTTCCTCTTTCTCCGCCAGGGGGCCACACAACATGGCGTGGAGCACACTACTCCGACTCATCAGAACATATCGGTGGGCTCAGACTATCCTCTCATTATTCCCAACCCGGAAGCTGACGTCACAAGAATCCTCAGAGGTCAACATATGGAGGTTACACTCTGCAAGGGACTTCCCACTTTGCCAGTTGTCATCGAACACAGAGTTGTCTTCTCTTACTTCTATTGAGGCCATCGATGTTTGCAGTTGCTATCTGAAGGAATGACACCCTTTGAAGATCTTGCTGACGTCAACTCAGCCGACTGAACGAACGTTGTTTATAGCCGCAATTAGTAATATGAAAACAAGGCGATCTGTGAAAAATCGAATCGTGATATTTACAACATCTGAGCGTCTTGGGGACAATAAAAACAACAAAAAGAACATTAGGAAATCACCATTGAACGATTCCATCTTTATCAAATGCATGTATGAAATGTCGACATTGCACTTTCCTTCTGCCATTCATGGGCATCTCAATCTCATTCAGTCACGCATATTTCAGCCACGTGAAAGATAATCTATGTTATGAGTATAGGTGTGTTATAAAATTTACCATTTAACCAAAAAAAATATAATACGAAGCCATTGTCTTCTTTTTTACCAATAACTAAACACGATATTGCTAGTTTAAGCGTCCAATATGCTTTACTGATTTCTCACTCGAATATTAATCTGTTTGATTGTGTTTTACTTGGGATTACCGTCGTGATATTGCTGGAATATTACTGAAAGCGGCGTAAAACTAAACTCACTCACCCACTCACTCCATGAGCGACACAGGGGTGTTTAAATGTAATTTGAAAACAGGCACTGACTTTGCTTCATGGTGGATTCAGTACAACTTTATATACGCGTTCTGATATTAACGAAAGCTTGCACTGTCGGCAGAAGCTGTATGAAAATACCCAGCTGGGTCAGCACGAGTTATCTCCCCTGTACATTGTTTACTTCCGCGTCCAAGCGATACAAGCGATACACATGGTGTATTTTTGTAGTTATAATCAATATCATATGAGAAATGTGTCTAATCAGTATGTGTATCTGTACTTACATCTGTATGGAGACGTATATCATGTACTTGATATCTACATGTTTCCGTTCGCAGGATATCCATGACAACTCGCATAATGTTCATTGACATTACAAACCGGAAAGAATGATGACTTGTTATTGTCATTCACGTATTTCATGAGAACTAGTTGTCGTATTCAAATAACTGATATTTACTGATGTGAGTATGTCGACTGATCCGACATCCACCACACTGAATTACACGTGTCAGTGTGTTCGTGGTTTTCCCCACGTGTCGCAGTGCGAGGGGAGAACCTGTCACTGCACTTGTCCGTGCAGGTAGCTTTTACTGGCTACAGTCTATTTACGAAGAAGATTGGGGGAATGGATGAGAGGGGGGAGGTACTTATTCACATTCCACGAAACACATGTACTGGAACCCCTCATAAGATTTTGTGGTGTTTACCTCAAATATACATGTGTCAACAACAAGTAACATGACAAACCGTCTTACCTGTGGTATTGAGCGCAATGTTGAACTCTGACCGTCTGTCACGTGACTGAAAATATGTGCGAGGCGGGATCGGTGATCAGAATAGTCTATAATATTATTGTGCTTATCATCAGACTGTAGTTCTCGTCGACATTATACGTTCTGTGTGCGTGCGTGCGTGCGTGCGTCTGTGTGTGTTGGGATGTGTGGGGGTGGGGGGTGGGGGGGGTTATATAGTTCGAAGTTAATATAATCTATCAATTCCACATAAACAATCATTTCGGAGATTTTGCAAGCCGTTAAATATCAGACTGCATAGATCTGCAAGTTCTTGACATACAATAAGCATTGTGCAAAAACTCGCCAAAATTTTGTATCATGGGTCTGACAGCGTATAAGGGGCGGTGGGGTAGCCTGATGGTCTGATGACCCAGGTTCGAATTCCCGCATGGGTAGGATGTGTGAGTCAGTTGGGAGATTCCAGTGGATAAATATTGCTGGAATATTGCTAAAAGCGTCGCAAAACCATACTCACCCACTACCATAAAAACTACCAGCCCCACTGATAACCAACCAGTCCTATGAACATTGTAAAATATTATTCGATTAAAAAATTATAAAAGAAAAGCAGAAAAGGTATTACTGAAGGGCTTTATAATGCACAACTTCTTCAAGCAGATGACCTTTGAATGCACATCAGGTTCACAAATAATCTCATCATAGTGTCACTGAGGGTAAAGGCTGGAGATATATCACTATTAATTCTGAATTAACTGTTTGAATGGAATGATTTAAATCACATTGTCATCTCCAAAATATACAAAACCAACAACCTGCTGTCAGTGTTGAACTAATGATACATCTATTTACTTTACAAAACAAAAACTGCATAATTTTTTAAGCAACATCAAATTGAATGAAAATATCATTGCAAATTCCTCAAATCTACATAATTCAAAAAAAAGTAAGCCAGCGGTCTGAAACATGGATTCTGGTTGTAATACCAGTAGTATCTCGTGCATTACCTGTTCCTTGACATCTCGTGCATTACCTGTTCCCCGACATAGGCATCTTCATATTTGCCACTTCATGTCACGCCACGGCCGAGGTGAGTTGATACACCCCTCGGCCATATATCATATTATATTGATGTCCATATATGTATTTTAAAGAATAAACAAATTTTAATCAAGTACGCCTCAGTCCTATTTATAAGCGGCCAGGACCCTCGACATTATGGTAGAATAATAATTAAGTACAGCATTTCAAAACAAAGGACGTTGAAGATGGGACCTTACAGTGTCCAAGATGGCAGCTAAAGAGGAAGCTGTCTGATGGCAGGCCATGCTAATTGGAATATACAGTATATATTTTCGTGACACATACTTTTTGGTCTTAATATATCAAAGAAGTTAAATGTATTTTCCAGTGCTGAAGATACTCATTTTATTGTGTAATCTCACACAGCCTGGCAGCTCAAATTTTCATTTGTTATATAGTGAAGACATTCTGAAATTTGTTGTCAACGTTTCCGAGTAGTTGTTGTTGACAGGTCATCCATCACTGTTTTACCCAAGGAAGTGGAACAGTATGTACACATGTTCTGTATACTGTTTGAGGAGCTCTTTACATGCCAGTGTGTTGTCTCATATTTCCTCCATTATGAGTCTGGAAATAAGACCCGGGCCACGTTCTTCCTTAACTGATATCTGGCATTCACCAAGTGTGATATTATTGAATACGGAGGAGCCCAAGAATCCACTTTTATTTGACTCTCTTGTAATTTCAATTTTATATCTGGATGACTTTTCTAGAATCAATACCTCCGACAGCTTCAGATGGACCTCGTTGGGAATACTTCTCTCTAACACAGCTGATACTTCTCTTAGAACCCAGGTCTTAACAGTAGTACACGATCTCATATTCTGAGACTGACTCCTATGTGACTCTTCTTGATATAGAGAAATGTTATATATGCAGCTGCTGTCACCATATACCCAGACACCAGTCAGGTGCATGCCCTGGCTGCATGAGATGATGATGCTAGAATCCTCTCGAATGGTTCCGGATGAGTTGCTAGAATCCTGTTGACTGGTTCTTGATTGAATTTGACTTGCATACAGATTGACCCCCATGTGAAGCTCTGGCTTCATTTTGAAAGGAGCCACATCAGTAACATTTAAGATCAGGTAGCACAACAGTTTGTTACTTTCATCACTTGATAATATCCCTGACGGTACAACTGTTTCTGCAAACATCTTCGTGTCCATGGAGGTGAAGGCAATATTATACACTGCTTCTCCCAGAACTAGACGTTTGTTTTCCGGACTTATCTCCCTTCCTTGGCGTTTACACTCTGACTCGGCCCACGAGAGGACAGCATTGAAACTTGTTTCATCATTTGTTAAGAAATAATCTGCGCTTACAACTTTATGAAAACAAGAAGCACAAAGTGATGTGAAGCCAGAGCTTTTAACAGTGGTACCACCATGTTTGACAACAACCTCCAGGGCCCTGTCAAAGAGCTTCTCCTCATCAAAGACATGGGCTTGTTCCAAGATGACACAGGCGTTATCTACCGTCAGGGACGATTCCAGGTAAGCCACACACAGACGCTCAAGACCCCCCACGGAGTACTTCTTGGCCAGGTACAACAGACCTGTCACATTCTCAGCAGTCAGGGTTGTCTTGTCTGTGTACAGGTACCTGTAAATGATATGTATTCATGACAATTAGGCCTTGTACAATGTTTGAGCAAAGTTTGACTTTTAGTATAAACTGTATCTTCGTGTAATGTTTCGGTACAAGGTACTAGACGTGCCATACCTTCATGAATTTATCAACTTAAAATCTTCGTTACAATATATGTAACCCTTAAAGGTAGCCAGCACATGACCGATGTTTGTTAACAGTGCAGTAAAACATCGATGTGTTGGACCTCTGGTTGCCTCGAAGTAAAAGCCAGAATTTAGTCTTTACCCTGCGAACCCCTCTTTAACCTCGACATATCGGTTTTTGACTGTATTAATTAGTTAATGTCCTGCGGGGATTTGTAATCTGATGAGTTATTATACTTATACTTCTGGTGACCTTGTATTGTATTAGCGATGGTGCTTATTGTTGTAAAAATACCCTTGTCACAAACTCTTTTGCCACCTTATTCATAATTAGATCTCTAAAGTCACCATGAATGACCAAGAAAGAGCAACTTTTGATTTTAAATTAAAATATATTTTGATGAAAGGATAGAGAAATGTTGTATCATAATAAAAGAATTATAAGGCATATTTAACCAACTAGACTTTTATGTATGACAATGACAGTTAACCCTATTATGCAGGTATGACCAATAATGTAAACAATACCTAACCGCCATAGGGATATATACCTCAACATTTCAGAGAATAGTTCCTCCTCCACATCGGGGATCTTGATGTCCTCTTTCTCCGCCAGGGGGCCACACAACATGGCGTAGAACACACAACTCCGACTCATCAGAACATATCGGTGAGCTCGGACTGGCATCCCTTCTTTCCCAACCAGGAAGCTGACGTCACAAGAATCCTCAGAGGTCAACATGTGGAGATTACACTCCGCCAAGGTCTTCCCACTTTGCCAGTTGTCAACAAATCCGGAGTTGTCTCCACTTACTTCCACAGAGGCCATACTGTTCCTGAATGCTGTCTGTTGGGGCGATTCTAAAATGCAGAATTTTATCGGAATCAAAACAGTGTGTCCTTCTCGAATATAAACTCAGAATTATTCAACAGAATTTAAGCCCTAAAGACCGCATTTGCCAGTTGAGTGCGTGTTTCACATAGCTAACAATTCTATTATGCTACAAAAAACACCCCATGTCCAAAGTAAATGAGTGGTTCATGTTCCCAAGTTCATGTAAAATTCTTGGAAATGGGGTGAATATTTCCACTTTTCCCAAGACTAAGACTGTTTTGTTGATGCTTCACACCAAGTACGTATATTACATGGGCCTCCTAAGTACGACAAGAGTGAGTGAGTTTAGTCTTACGCCGATTTTAGCAATATTCCAGCAATATCACGTCGGGGGACACCAGAAATGGGCTTCACATATTGTACCCATGTGGAGAATCGAACCCGGGTCTTCGGCGTGACGAGCGAACGCTTTAATCACCATGTTGCCCCATCGCCCCACGGCAAAAGAGAGACTGGATCCAATTTCAGAAGTGTACCCTAATACAAATACAAATTGAATAACACACGTGTTTTCAATTTTCCCTTAGACTAGTCTCTGAATGTATATAATTTTGATAGAAACAAACCATTCCTTTTAAACTGAAAAGTAGCCTCAGTGAGATGGGAGATTCAGAACCTAAAAAGGGCTAGGCAGAAGGGACAACAATGCGGTTCGGTGACTGTGAGACAGACTACTTTTCCCTTTACTTTATTTCGAAAGAACATATTTTCCTTCAGCACCATACATGGCTAACCACATTAGTTTGATTATATCTGTTTCAAAACAACACAGTTGTGGGGGCTGATATAGCTGAACAGTCGTATATAAAATATCTCACTCCATGGTACAGAACAATCCGGTAATTGCCAAGATGTGTCCTTCACCTTGAGTTCATGGTTCGTGTGAACTTAAATAAGATTTGGTTGGTTGGTTGGTTGGTTGTTGTTTAACGCCGCACTCAGTGATATTCCAGCTATATTTCGGCGGTCTGTAAATACTCGAGTCTGGACCAGACAATCCAGAGGTCAACATCATGAGCATTGTTCTACGCATTTGGGGTACGATGACATGTGTCAACCAAATCAGCGACCCTGACCACCCAATCTCGTTACTCGCCTCTTGCGACAAGCATGGATTGCTGAAGATCAATTCTAACCGGCATACCTAAATAAAGATAGACCAACTTGCTTCGCATACAGACTAACACAGGTCAAGGTTATCGTAATGGCGTAATCAGTCTCTGCAATTTCCCCATATAAGATAAGAAAGGAGACTTCTTGTAAATTCCATATTGGAAATCGCATTTAACTGGAGAAAGTTCAGGTGTCACCATGGCGGGAACAAACATGACTTTTATTCAGGTGATTTATACATGTGGACCTGGTTGACTACCAGAGAATGAATAGTATCGACTTGTTACACTGGAGTGTATATTTCTTGGCAAACCGTGACACAATGTTACATATTCTTTCACTTATCGAAACCATCCCATAGTCTTAACCGTAACTTACAAACGACATGTCAAAACATAAAACATAGAGGTTGTAGCTGAGGCTTCCTATTAAGAAGTAATCGCGATACAGAGAATAAACAAACAGACATTTCAAATTAATGTGCCACCTTCACATAAACCATAACAAGATGGCATATTACTTTTAGTGAAAATTTATATCTGATTATGACAAACATAATCCGAAAACGTTATTTGTTTAAGTTTTAATGTGTATAAAATCCTCATATTTGTCACAAAGTATGCCAGTTATCTCCCTTTTATACAGTCTACTTCCGCGTCTCACAGAGAAAAAAGAGGATAAAATAACTGTACATTTAGACTTACATCGGTCTAGGTAACCGAAATGAACAAATAGTCCCTGCCATTTTCCTCTATCAGGAATGAAAGTAGAATTATTGGAATCGCCTTGCCCATATCGAAACCGAAAGTACGGTATTTCAAATGTGTCCCAAAGATATGTTTTTAACTTAAAACAACTAATCGTCACAGTCGCATGTGTTACACAAACATGACATGGAATCAGGCTGCTTTCGTGTTTGCACCAATCTGTGTCATATGGTTATGATTTTACGACAAAGTAAACATCCACCGTAGTCGACCCGTCCTACTCACCTCACACGGCTGGTTGGATGTCTCGCCACTGAATGTGAGCGTGTCACGTGACAACACAGCGCTGTATAACGATAGATGGTTTTCGTACGAAACTGCGAGTGCTCAAAGGCATGACGTTATTTTCCTGTTCAATCCCTTCTTTTAAATTCAATTTTGTTTCTTTAGGTAATTCTGCTTTTGTATTTTTGTGTATTTTTATTTTATTTATCTTTTATTAATATGTTCTACAGATTGAGATGAAAATGACTCGACGATTCGGGTGTTCCTGGCATAATCAGGCTGGTAAGGCTCATCATCAGCTCAGGGCCCTTGCCCCGTCAACAAGCAGCCCAGACAGCGAATGAGACTTCTCCCAAGAAACGCTGCATAGTTGAACCAACCAAGAACTTTTCGGAGTATATGTAGACTCCCCAACACTGCAGCTTTCTGACAGTGTACTTGGGATACAAGCGAGACATTTCAAAGGCGAGATTCACATATTTAACGTGCCTTTCCTGAATCTTGCCAATCACATTGCTGTCAATAAGGACAGAAAATTCAATGATACAAATTATCATTATTATTATTGTTTCCTATTTTGTTTCGTGTGTGTGTGTGTTGTATGGTTGTTGTGGTTTTAAGGAGGGGGAGAGTTGTATATTGTTGTGGTTTGGGTTTTAAGGTGGATGGTGGTGGTGGAGGAGGTTTAACTTTCAAATGCACAATACACCAACTTACAAATAATTATAGCAATCAGCTAGATAAGCCTGCCACATAACATGGTGTAGTTCGTAAAGAATTACTTCACACGACATATTTTGCCGCTGATCTGCTGGTTGGGCGGAAATAAGTCTGGTTTGTTTAATAAATGCGTGAGTTTAGAAAATGATTTTTTTTATTTTGAATAAAACACTCCATACATAATATTAGCATAATATACACTGTAAAGTAGTCAGACATGTAAGACTGTTTGACCTGTTTGATATTCTGTGACTATACTAAACGAACTAAAACCACCAGTGAATAGTTCAGTTTATGTCTGTTTAGCGTCCTTCCTTCAAATATGTTAGAACTTATTTAGAAGAAGGGTTCTCTTTGAATACCCACCAAGTTATTATATCCCAATACTAAGAAATGGGTTATATCCCATCACGGAATACTAGGAGATATTCATATCCCATCTCGGAATACTGAAACATATACATGTAGATATGAATATACATCTCATTACTGAGATATAACTGAGAGACTTCTATATCCCATCACGGAACACTAAAAGATGTATATATCCCATCACGGACTACTGAGAGATGTTTATTTTCCATCACGGAATACTGAAAGATATCTATATCCCGTCACGGAATATTGAGAGATATCTATATCCCGTCACGGAATACTGAGAAATGTTTATATCCCATCAAGGAATACTGAGAGATGTTTATTTCCCATCACGGAATACTGAGAGATGTTTATTTTCCATCACGGAATACTGAGAGATATCTATATCCCGTCACGGAATATTGAGAGATATCTATATCCCGTCACGGAATACTGAGAAATGTTTATATCCCATCAAGGAATACTGAGAGATGTTTATATCCCATCAAGGAATACAGAGAGATGTTTTTATCCCATCAAGGAATACTGAGAGATGTTTATATCCCATCTCGGTATACTGAAACATATACATGTAGATATGAATATACATCTCATTACTGAGATATAACTGAGAGACTTCTATATCCCATCACGGAACACTAAAAGATGTATATATACTGAGACGGACTACTGAGAGATGTTTATTTATCCATCAAGGAATACTGAAAGATGTCTATATCCCATCACGGAATATTGAGAGATATCTATATCCCATCACGGAATACTGAGAAATGTTTATATCCCATCAAGGAATACTGAGAGATGTTTATTTTCCATCACGGAATACTGAGAGATGTTTATTTTCCATCACGGAATACTGAGAGATATCTATATCCCATCACGGAATATTGAGAGATATCTATATCCCGTCACGGAATACTGAGAAATGTTTATATCCCATCAAGGAATACTGAGAGATGTTTATATCCCATCAAGGAATACAGAGAGATGTTTTTATCCCATCAAGGAATACTGAGAGATGTTTATATCCCATCTCGGTATACTGAAACATATACATGTAGATATGAATATACATCTCATTACTGAGATATAACTGAGAGACTCTATATCCCATCACGGAACACTAAAAGATGTATATATCCCATCACGGACTACTGAGAGATGTTTATTTTCCATCAAGGAATACTGAAAGATATCTATATCCCGTCACGGAATATTGAGAGATATCTATATCCCGTCACGGAATACTGAGAAATGTTTATATCCCATCAAGGAATACTGAGAGATGTTTATTTTCCATCACGGAATACTGAGAGATGTTTATTTTCCATCACGGAATACTGAGAGATGTTTATTTTCCATCACGGAATACTGAGAGATATCTATATTCCGTGATGGGATAAAGAAGTCTCTCAGTTATATCTCAGTAATGAGATATATATTCATATCTACATGTATATGTTTCAGTATTCCGAGATGGGATATGAATATCTCCCAGTATTCCGTGATGGGATAATATATCTTTTAGCATTACGTGATGGGATATAACCCATTTCTTAGTATTGGGATATAATAACTTGGTGGGTATTCAAAGAGAACCCTTCTTCTAAATAAGTTCTAACATATTTGAAGGAAGGACGCTAAACAGACATAAACTGAACTATTCACTGGTGGTTTTAGTTCGTTTAGTATAGTCACAGAATATCAAACAGGTCAAACAGTCTTACATGTCTGACTACTTTACAGTGTATATTATGCTAATATTATGTATGGAGTGTTTTATTCAAAATAAAAAAATCATTTTCTAAAATTGGGAATGTAGTATCCTTCATCTCTGTTGAGGGCGGATCCTATCTTCTTGACGTGTACTGCTTCCAAAAGTTTACGAATTTTGTAGTCTGACTGGTTCTTTTCTATGGTTTTATTTGAATTATGATATTGTGTGACAAATGTGTATTGATGGAATATAAACATCTCTCAGTATTCCTTAATGGGATATAAACATCTCGCAGTATTCCTTGATGGGATATAAACAACTCTCAGTATTCCTTGATGGGTTATAAACATCTCTCAGTATTCCTTGATGGGATATAAACATCTCTCAGTAGTCCTTGATGGGATATAAACATCTCTCAGTATTCCTTGATGGGATATAAACACCACTGAGTATTCCTTGATAGGAAAAAAACATCTCTCAGCATTCCTGGATGGGATATAAACATCTCTCGGTATTCCTTGATGGGATATAAACATCTCTCAGTATTCCTTGATAGCATAAAACATTTATATCTCATCAAGGAATACCGAGAGATGTTTATATTCCATCACGGACTACTGAGAGATGTTTATTTTCCATCACGGAATACTGAAAGATATCTATATTCCGACCCGGAATACTGAGAGATATCTATATCCCATCAAGGAATACTGAGAAATGTTTATATCCCGTCACGGAATACTGAGAAATGTTTATATCCCATCAAGGAATACTGAGAGATGTTTATATCCCATCAAGGAATACTGAGAGATGTTTATATCCCATCAAGGAATACTGAGAGATGTTTATATCCCATCAAGGAATACTGAGAGATGTTTATATCCCATCAAGGAATACTGAGAGATGTTTATATCCCATCAAGGAATACTGAGAGATGTTTATATCCCACCAAGGAATACTGAGAGATGTTTATATCCCATCAAGGAATACTGAGAGATGTTTATAACCCATCAAGGAATACTGAGAGTTGTTTATATCCCATCAAGGAATACTGAGAGATGTTTATATCCTATCAAGGAATACTGAGAAATGTTTATATCCCATCAAGGAATACTGAGAGATGTTTATATCCCATCAAGGAATACTGAGAGATGTTTATATCCCATCACGGAATACTGAGAGATGTTTATTTTCCATCACGGAATACTGAAAGATATCTATATCCCATCACGGAATACTGAGAGATGTTTGTATCCCATCAAGGAATGCTGAGAGATGTTTTATCCTATCAAGGAATACTGAGAGATGTTTATATCCCATCAAGGAATACCGAGAGATGTTTATATCCCATCAAGGAATGCTGAGAGATGTTTTATCCTATCAAGGAATACTCAGTGGTGTTTATATCCCATCAAGGAATACTGAGAGATGTTTATATCCCATCAAGGAATACTGAGAGATGTTTATATCCCATCAAGGAATACTGAGAGATGTTTATATCCCATCAAGGAATACTGAGAGATGTTTATAACCCATCAAGGAATACTGAGAGTTGTTTATATCCCATCAAGGAATACTGCGAGATGTTTATATCCCATCAAGGAATACTGAGAGATGTTTATATTCCATCAATACACATTTGTCACACAATATCATAATTCAAATAAAACCATAGAAAAGAACCAGTCAGACTACAAAATTCGTAAACTTTTGGAAGCAGTACACGTCAAGAAGATAGGATCCGCCCTCAACAGAGATGAAGGATACTACATTCCCAATGCCTACCATCACTTGATAAAGTAATCAATAATATTTCTTGTGTACATTATATTTTTCAATTCAACTATGTACATCAACCCCATCCATCGTATATACATCCACCTGGCTTCCTATCAGTTTTATAAGTTCTAATTCAGTCCTTGTGTATCACCCTTCTGGCATCCAATCAACTTACTCAATCTCACCTCATTTATTGTATAAACAACTCATTCCCTATCTACTGTAATAACAACTAATGTATATTTTCTCTCAATTTGTTACTCATGTATCACTTGCTTGACAACGACATTAAAATCTATGTCGAAACGTCGCCTCCACAGAATACAAGAATTTGTATATCCATAATAATTGTCATTATTCTTCATCAACCTAACTTCTAAAATGCCCATCAAAGAAATAATTCAATTGGTTGGTGTGATTAAGTTGGTTAAGACAATTCGAATCCAGTCATATCACGAAATATGTAATTCCCTTAGTCACATCACAAAATGAAGGTTTCCGTTATTTCACGATATGACTACTACATACGCGCAAATTGCATGACAAAGGAAAGTCTACATCTGTATTAGATATTCTCAAAACGTCAAGTCATACAACGCCATTCATGGGCTATCGCTTTCTCGTCTCGTGTTATCGCTTTCTCGTCTCCGAATTTTAAGGCGAGAAAGCGATAACCCTACTCAGCCACCGTACAAACATTGTAATCACACAGTTAACGTATTGTTCAGTGAGGTGGGTGTTCCTGTGTCTCTCAAAGTAGCCATCATTGCACCTCTCCTTAAGAAACCAAGCCTTGATCAGGACACTTTATCAAACCATCACCAAGTCTCTAATTTGTCTTTTATTTCCAAAGTCCTTGAGCGTGTGGTTGCTGCAAGACTGAGAGAACACCTTACCATCTTGAACCACTGTAGTCAGCATACCATGAATATCACAGTACTGAAACCGCCCTGTCAAAGTGTTAGTGGCATCCTTGAAACAGTGGGTTAGACCGGAGCAGTTGTTCTTAAACTTTTGGACTTGTCAGCTGTATTTGACACCATTGATCATGAAACATGATCAAATCACACCAGTTCTCCAACATCTACACTGGCTACCAGTGCCACAGTGGATCAAATACAAAGCTGTCCTACTTGCCTTCAAGTGTCTTCACAATCGAGGACCTCAGTATCTCTCCAGCATAATAACCAGATATCAACCTGTCAGATCTCTTCCATCCTCTCACCAGTTTCGCCTTCAGCCACCTGCACTAAAACCTAGTTGCATCACCAGCCGTTGTTTCCAAATTGCCGGACCAAACTTGTGGAACGAACCCCCCACAACATCTGAGATCAAATCACGATCTGGATTCATTCAAATCACAGCTAAGGACTCATTACTTCTGTGAAGCATACAACTTCCCGTCAGAGCAGTTTATTCTGGATACATATAGCTTATATAAGTTTTGCCATAGATAGATAGATAGAAAGACATACATACAGATATAGATTGAGTGAGTGAGTTTAGTTTTACGCCGCTTTTAGCAATATTCCAGCAATATCACGGCGGGGGACACCAGAAATGGGCTTCACACATTGTACTCATGTAGGGAATTGAACATGGATCTTCGGCATGACGAGCGAACGCTTTAACCACAAGGCCACCCCAAAACCCTATACGTTATAGGCATATGCTTCAAACCCACTGGCATGACCCACAAGCCGCAAACCTAAGGCGTATGGTACGATAGCTTTCAACGATAGAGACGGAACTCCTCGCGTGATCCTATCTCATCAGAGCAGTGTGACATAAGAAAACATATAAACACCTTTGCTGCTTATAATCTTAAATGTTGTGGCATTGCATTCCGATATGAAAAAAAAAGAAACACAGCATACTTGTACTTTTGTTGGGCAATATTCCAAAAGGGACAACACTTCTCAAGAGTCATGTGCCGGCAAGCCACAGCATATTAATATGAGGTCTGCAAATACAATCTGCCTGGATAGGCGTTTAGAAGTTGGAGACATATGACTACAAGACAGTGTTTGTGAATAACAACTTCTTTTATTCTTTGTTACAACCTTTGTTGCTTCTTCATCAGATGGATACTGGCGGCGTCAAGTACGGTAGAAATTATTATATAATTTATACAATAGGTAAAATATATGATTCTATAATTTAAATAGGTATAACATATAATAGAGAAGGCCAGTCCTTGAAAATGTAAAAGGGTTTAATGAGGAATGGGCTGAAGTATGGATGTGAAATAATATATATACTGGAATATATTGTTCTGTAACTACACAACGATAAATATCTATGCGGGCGGTTTTGGGTGTATCACTTAAGCCGATGTTAAGATAAGGGCCCATGACTGAAGAAAAAAGGGCAAAACGTAGATACCATGTGAGGTTGATGGGAGTGTTTGTAAAAGAGCACAAGACCTCTATTAAAATCTGAAATGGAAACGCTTTTAGCAGTATTCCCGCAACATCACGGCGGGGGACACCAGAAATGGGCTTCACCGATTATACCCATGTGGGGAATCCACTGGGCCCCAAGCAACTTTTGAGAACCTTTCGGGTAATCATGAGAAGTACTTCTGGGAAACTGGAATAAAATCCCTCCAACATCGCCAGCAAAGGTATACCAAGATGGATATGGATAACCAATAATTCATGTGTCTTTATGATAAATCTTTCTAAGTGAGCCTCTGAATCACGCATACTTACTCATGTCATGTAAACTGTTTTGTTGGGGTTTTTTTTGTTAAACGCCGCATTCAGCAATCTTCCAGCTATCTGGAGGCGTTGTGGAAATAATCGAATCTGGACCAGACAATCTAGTGATCAACAGCATGAGCATCGATCTACGCAACTGGGATAAGATGAAATGTGTCAAACAAGTCAGTGAGCCGTATGAACCAATACGAAAAGAAGCTTTAACACAAAAACGGAATGAGAGAGAATGTTTTGTTACACTTCAAACCGCACTAATTTCAGCAGCATCACCACGAACAATAAATAATTCAGACTGGATTAGGCAGACATTGGTCCACTTCTCTGGACATGATGACAAACAATCAGCAAGGTACAAAATGAAGCATACAACTTCTTGTTTATTACTTAGAGCGACGTTTCGATGTAGATTCATACACCATTTTACCCGTGAAGATCCGGGACAGAGTTGATCTTCTGTAACCCATGTGTGTCGTAAGAGGCGACTAACAGGATCGGGTCGTTAGGCTCGCTGACTTGGTTGACACATGTCATCGGTTCCCATTGCTTAAGGATACTCATGCTATTGATCACTGGATTGTCTGATCCAGACTCGATTATTCACAGACCGCCGATATAGCTGGAATATTGCTGAGTGCGGCGTAAACCTAAACTCACTCACTCACTCTTACACCATTATCAAGCTAATAGTGCTCTATGTAATGAACAAGAAGTTGTTATCTATAAAGTTGTATGCTTCATTATTGACTCACCAACTTCAAGAATGTCGATCAAACAATTAATGAGCAAGGTCAAACATCTTATCCACACACATTCCCATTTTCAAAATCTAAACTGTATCTAACAAAGCTACAACATATCTCGCACCGCGTTAAAAGAACTTTAACCGAAATAGCGTGTCAAAGGCTGCTGATGTGTACCCACACAGATCCTCATTTTCAAAGTCTGAATTTTATCCAGCAAACCTACAATATATCAGCGTTAAAAGCAGTTTAAACGTTATGGCGCGTCAAAGACTGGTGATGACGCTAACCCAACTCACATAACCGCAATACGAGTCTGGAGATGATGCCATCTTCGTATGCCTGTGAAACGGATATCTGACATTTGCCAACAGTGATGCCTTTCCTAAGTTGAGTACCTAGCCATCCCCCTGTAGTATTGCTCATGTGAGTCCGGAACCTGTAATTAACGTTGGCCTCTAGAGTAGGCTGTGCTGACAGTTCCAGTTCCACTTCTGTCCCATCAGTTCTCACAGGCTTTGCTGACATCCTCATCTGATCAATCCAACGCCGTGGAGTTCCCTGTTTCCTATCCAGCACTATGTTATACCTGCTGTTGTCGCTACCAAATGCCCAAAGGCCGATCAAACGCATGTTATGGCTACACGTGATGGTGATGTATGAATCCAACTCGCTGAGATCAGTGCGGATCCTGTTTCCATACAAAGAGACTGCAGGTCCTGGACTTACTTTGAATGGTGCTGCGTCGGTCCCAGATATACATAAGAAACAGAATAATTTTGTACATTCATCGCCTGATAATATTCCAGATTGAACTACCGTTTTGGCAAATTCCTGTATCCCCATTGATGTGAAGCCAAGCTCATACACTGACTCCCCAAGAACTTGTCGCTTGTTTTCTGGAGTGCTTTCCAATTCCCTTCGCTTTATTTCTTCCTCAGCCCACAAGATGGCAGAACCAAACATTTTTTCCGGTTTTACAATATACTCCTCTCCACTAACTGCACTGACAATGTTTTGGAAACACGTTTGACACAGATCTTTGAAGCTATAGCTCTCTAGTGCAACATCTCCATTCTGAACAATGACCTTCAAGGCCCTATCAAACAGTGTTTCCTCATCAAAGACGTGGGCTTGTTCCAGAATGACACAAGCGTTCTCTGCCGTCAGGGACGATTCCAGGTAAGCCACACATAGACGCTCTAGACCCCCCACGGCGTATTTCTTGGCCAGATACAACAGACCTGTCACATTCTCAGCAGTCAGGGTTGTCGTGTCTGTATACAGAAATCTGCAAATATATATGTATTTTACATCGGGAAATTTCAGTAAGGACTATGTACAGTAATAAATACAAGTGGAGAAAGCAGGGTTTTTTTCACAAAATGAACGTTTATGGCAGGAAATGTATTACAGTATATTCATTGCACTGGCGATCGACCTGGGAAGTTTGGGGTTTTCCTCCCATATGAGGCTGACACGCCCTTGCATCTAGACATTCTGTTCAAAGTGACGTTGTAATAAACACACTCACTGTTCATAACAAGGAGACCCGTGAAGATCAGGGTTAGAATTGATCTTCAGTAACCCTTGCTTGTCGTAAGAGGCGTCTAATGGGATCGGGTGGTCAGGCTCGCTGACTGGGTTGACACATGTCATCGTATCCCAATTGCGTAGATTGATGTTCACGCTGTTGATCCCTGGATTGTCTGGTCCAGATCTGATTATTTACAGACCGCCGCTACAGAGCTGGAATATTGCTGGGTGCGGCGTAAAACTAAACTCACTCACTCATAACGAGGACGTGAATGCAAAATGCACGCTAGTCTGCTAGTCCGAGACAGTAAAATGCTGCATTCAAATGCTGGTAGTCCACTTTAACTGGTAGAGGTTGATGGCTATTATTCTGAATTCTTGATGCCTTAATTGTGTTAGAGATTTGAACTGAATAAACTGACAGATATTTTTTGTCTTTTTCAACCAAGGTGAGTGAGTGAATGTTTACAGCAATATTTCAGTTTTATCAGTATCAGTGTGTGGGCATCCCGAAGCACCGACGGGCTTTTGGTTTGGTTTGGTTGTTTAAAGCCACACTCAGCAATATTCCAGCTATATGACGGCGGTCTATAAATAATCGAGTCTGGACCAGACAATCCAGTGATCAACAGCATGAGCATCGATCATTACGCAAGTGGGATGCGATGACATGTGTCAACCAAGTCAGCGAGCCTGACCACCCGATCCCGTTAGTCGCCTCTTACGACAAGCATGGGTTGCTGAAGACCAATTCTAACCCGGATCCTCATGGACCCGAAGGACTTTTAGACACCGTCTACAAGACGAACAAAGCACAACACTGACCATCACCTACCTCAACATGTCATTAAATATTTCTTCCTCTACATCAGGTATCCTAATTTCCTCTTTCTCCGCCAGGAGGCCACACAACATGGCGTGGAGCACACTACTCCGACTCATCAGAACATATCGGTGGGCTCAGACTATCCTCTCATTATTCCCAACCCGGAAGCTGACGTCACAAGAATCCTCAGAGGTCAACATATGGAGGTTACACTCTGCAAGGGACTTCCCACTTTGCCAGTTGTCATCGAACACAGAGTTGTCTTCTCTTACTTCTATTGAGGCCATTGATGTTTGCAGTTGCTATCTGAAGGAATGGCACCCTTTGAAGATCTTGCTGACGTCAACTCAGCCGACTGAACGAACGTTGTTTAAAGCCGCAATTAGAAATATGAAAACAAGGCGATCTGTGAAAAATCGAATCGTGATATTTACAACATCGGTGAAACCCATAAGACTGTGTGTCTTGGGGACAATAAAAACAACAAAAAGAACATTAGGAAATCACCATTGAACGATTCCATCTTTATCAAATGCATGTATGAAATGTCGACATTGCACTTTCCTTCTGCCATTCATGGGCATCTCAATCTCATTCAGTCACGCATATTTCAGCCACGTGAAAGATAATCTATGTTATGAGTATAGGTATGTTATATAATTTACCATTTAACAAAAAAATAATATAATACGAAGCCATTGTCTTCTTTTTTACCAATAACTAAACACGATATTGCTAGTTTAAGCGTCCAATATGCTTTACTGATTGTCACTCGAATATTAATCTGTTTGATTGTGTTTTATTTGGGATTACTCTAAATCCGTAAAATGCATCGAACGTTTCTTCGCTTCCGTTCATGTGGGGTAGCCTAGTGGTTATAGCGTTCGCTCGTCACGCCGAATCCCCGGGTTCGATTCCCCACATGGGTACAACGTGTGAAGCCCATTTCTGGTGTTCCCGTCGTGATATTGCTGGAATATTACTGAAAGCGGCGTAAAACTAAACTCACTCACCCACTCACTCCATGAGCGACACAGGGGTGTTTAAATGTAATTTGAAAACAGGCACTGTCTTTGCTTCATGGTGGATTCAGTACAACTTTATATACACGTTCTGATATTAACGAAAGCTTGCACTGTCGGCAGAAGCTGTATGAAAATACCCAGCTGGGTCAGCACGAGATATCTCCCCTGTACATTGTTTACTTCCGCATCCAAGCGATACACATGGTGTATTTTTGTTGTTATAATCAATATCATATGAAAAATGTGTGTTATCAGTATGTGTATCTGTACTTACATCTGTATGGAAACGTATATCATGTACGTGATATCTACATGTTTCCGTTCGTAGGATATCCATGACAACTCGCATAATGTTCATTGACATTACAAACCGGAAAGAATGATGACTTGTTATTGTCATTCACGTATTTCATGAGAACTAGTTGTTGCATTCAAATAACTGATATTTACTGATGTGAGTATGTCGACTTATCCGACATCCACCACACTGAATTACACGTGTCAGTGTGTTCGTGGTTTTCCCCACGTGTCGCAGTGCGAGGGGAGAACCTGTCACTGCACTTGTCTGTGCAGGTAGCTTTTACTGGCTAAAGTCTATTTACGAAGAAGATTGGGGGTTTGGATGAGAGGGGGGAGGTACTTATTCACATTCCACAAAACACATGTACTGGAACACCTCATCAGATTTTGTGGTGTTTACCTCAATTATACATGTGTCAACAACAAGTACCATGACAAACCGTCTTACCTGTGGTATTGAGCGCAATGTCGAACTCTGACTGTCTGTCACGTGACTGAAAATATGGGCTAGGCGGGATCGGTGATCAGAATAGTCTATAATATTAATATGATTATCATCCGCGACTGTGGTTCTCGTCGAGCCGTTAAATATCAGACTGCATAGATCTGCAAGTTCTTGACATACAATAAGCATTGTGCGAAAACTCGCCAAAATTTTGCACATTGGGTCTCACAGCGTATAAGGGGCGGTGGGGTAGCATGATGGTCTGGTGACCCAGGTTCGAATTCCCGCATGGGTACGATGTGTGAGTCAGTTGGGAGATTCCAGTGGATAAATATTGCTGGAATATTGCTAGAAGTGTCGTAAAACCATACTCACTCACTACCATCAAAACTACCAGCCCCACTGAAAACCAACCAGTCCTATGAACATTGTCAAATATTATTCGATTAAAAATGTATAAAAGAAAAGCAGAAAAGGTATTACTGAAGGGCTTTATTGAAATGCACAACTTCTTCAAGCAGATGACCTTTGAACGCACATCAGGTTCACAAATAATCTCATCATAGTGTCACTGAGGGTAAAGGCTGGAGATATATCACTATTAATTCTGAATTAACTGTTTGAATGGAGTGATTTAAATCACATTGTCATCTCCAAAATATACAAAACCAACAACCTGTTATCAGTGTTGAACTAATGATACATCTATTTACTTGACAAAACAAAGACTGCATAATTTTTTAAGCAACATCAAATTAAATGAAAATATCATTGCAAATTCCTCAAATCTACATAATTCAAAAAACAAGTAAGCCAGCGGTCTGAAACATGGATTTAATCAACTTAAAATCACCATGGTTAAAGTAAAGTCACCACTTTTTAAAAGAGAATCATTTACTGCTCAGTGTTTAACTTTAAAACTACACACTGAGTACTATATTGACATGGACCATTCATTAATAAGTTAAAGAGAGATCTGAATCATAATCTGCTTCCTGTAGATCTGAGTCAGCAAGCGTAGTTTAGTTTTACGCCGCTCTTAGCAATATTCAAGCAATTTCACGGCGGGGGACACCAGAAATAGGCTTCACGCAATGTTACCATGTAGGAAATCGAAACCGGGTCTTCGGCGTTAAGTCTGGAGAAGAAACCTTTTTGGGGTTAAAATTCCTGGTTTTGTTACATTCCAGACATCTCTGTATTAACTGAGTCATGTTTCATTACATAACCTCTGTTGGCTGTACGTCAGTGTGCTTAACCCCCTCCAAGTCACATGGCCTCAGGTGATGTGCTTGGTTTTTGATACCATGGAGAAGCGTGATAAGACGATAAATTAATTATCGGCTTCGATACTGTGTTATGGAAATGTTTTAAGCGATAATGGAGTAATAAGAATCGTTCACATATTCTTACCATAGATATAGCAAGCGTGTAGTTTATTACGGATATTGTCAAACGAATCCCTCCAATATACTATGGGACGTTGCAGGTCACCCTGAACCTTGTATAGTTGAGTTGAGTTGAGTGGGTTTTACGTCACATCGGCATTATTCCCAACTCAACTCAACGTAAAACCCAACTCAACTCAACTCAACTATACAAGGTTCAGGGTGAATAGAGCACTATTTCTTGACGAAAAGGGGCAGTTCAACCTAATGGGTCACGCCAAAGATCCGGGTTCGATTCCCCACATGGGTACAATGTGTGAAGCCCATTTCTGGTGTCCCCCGCCGTGATATTGCTGGAATATTGCTAAAAGCGGCGTAAAACTAAACTCACTCACTCACTCACTCTTGGCGAAAAAGCATTTGATATACAGAAACTTATGCAATATATATTCAATTAAATAACATTCTAGAAACATTCTCACTTAATACAGCACATAAATAAGAATTATAGTAGAATTATTGTCGCCGGATGTATTTCCCTATACATTTGCGTATCTCTTACTTTATTCCTCTCTGCTCATTTACGAGCGCTTCTTCTATCACTCTTACTCTCGTTGTAATACCAGTAGTATCTCGTGCATTACCTGTTCCGTGACATCTCGTGCATTACCTGTTCCGTGACGTAGGCATCTTCATATTTGCCACTTCATGTCACGCCAAGGCCGAGGTGAGTTGATACACCCCTCGGCCATACATCATATTACATTGATGTCCATATATGTATTTTACAGAATAAACAGATTTTAATCAACTACGCCTCAGTCCGATTTATGAGCGGCCAGGACCCGCGACATTATGGTACAATAATAATCAATTACAGCATTTCAAAACAAAGGACGTTGAAGATGGGACCTTATAGTGTCAAAGATGGCAGCTAAAGAGGAAGCTGTCTGATGGCAGGCCATGCTAATTGAAATATACAGTATATATTTTCGTGACACATACTTTTCGGTCTTAATATATCAAAGACGTTAAATGTATTTTCCAGTGCTGAAGATACTCATGCTAATGTGTAATCTCACACAGCCTGGCAGCTCAAATTTGCATTTGTTATATAGTGAAGACATTCTGAAATTTGTTCTCAACGTTTCCGAGTAGTTGTTGTTGACAAGTCATTCATCACAGTTTTACCCAAGCATGTTCTGTATACTGTTTGAGGAGCACTATGCATGCCAGTGTGTTGTCTCACTTATGCTCAATTATGAGACTGGAAATGAGACCCGGGCCACTTCCTTCCTTAACTGATATCTGGCATTCACCAAGTGTGATATTATTGAATACGGAGGAGCCCAAGAATCCACTTTTATTTGACTCTCTTGTAACTGCAATTCTATATCTGCGTAATTTTTCTAGAATCAGTACCTCTGACAGCTTCAGATGGACCTTGTTGGGAATACTTCTCTCTAACACAGCTGATACTTCTCTTTGAACCCAGGTCTTAACAGTAGTATACGATCTCAGATTGTGAGACTGACTCGTATGTGACTCTTCTTGGTCTAGAGAAATGTTATATATGCAGCTATCGTCACCATATGCCCAGACACCAGTCAGGCGCATGTCCTGGCTGCATGAGATGATGATGCTAGAATCCTCTCGACTCGTTCCGGATGAGTTGCTAGAATCCTGTTGACTGGTTCTTGATTGAATTTGACTTGCATACAGATTGACCCCCATGTGAAGCTCTGGCTTCATCTTGAAAGGAGCCACATCAGTATTATTTGAGATCAGGTAGCACAACAGTTTGTTACTTTCATCACTTGATAATATCCCTGATGGTACAACTGTTTTTGCAAACATCTCGGTGTCCATGGAGGTGAAGGAAATATTATACACTGCTTCTCCCAGAACTAGACGTTTGTTTTCCGGCGTTATCTCCCTTCCTTGGCGTTTACACTCTGACTCGGCCCACGAGAGGACAGCATTGAAACTTGTTTCATCATTTGTTAAGAAATAATCTGCGCTTACAACTTTATGAAAACAAGAAGCACAAAGTGATGTGAAGCCAGAGCTTTTAACAGTGGTACCACAATGTTTGACAACAAGCTCCAGAGCCCTGTCAAAGAGCTTCTCCTCATCAAAGACGTGGGCTTGTTCCAAGATGACACAGGCGTTCTCTGCCGTCAGGGACGATTCCAGGTAAGCCACACACAGACGCTCAAGACCCCCCACGGAGTACTTCTTGGCCAGGTACAACAGACCTGTCACATTCTCAGCAGTCACGGTTGTCGTGTCTGTGTACAGGTACCTGTAAGTGATATATATTCATGACAATTAGGCCTTGTATAATGTTTGAGCAAAGTTTGACTTTTAGTATAAACTGTATCTTCGTGTAATGTATCGGTACAAGGTACTAGACGTACCATACCTTCATGAATTTATAAACTTAAAATCTTCGTTACAATATATGTAACCCTTAAAGGTAGCCAGCACATGACCGGTGTTTGTTAACAGTGCAGTAAAACACCGATGTGTCGGACCTCTGGTTGCCTCGAAGTAAAAGCCAGAATTTAGTCTTTACCCTGCGAACCCCTCTTTAACCTCGACATATCGGTTTTTGACTGTATTAATTAGTTAATGTCCTGCGGGGACTTGTAATGTGATGAGTTATTATACTTATACTTCTGGTGACCTTGTATTGTATTAGCGATGGTGCTTATTGTTGTAAAAATACCCTTGTCACAAACTCTTTTGCCACCTCATTCATAATTAGATCTCTAAAATCACCATGAATGACCGACCATGAGAGAGCAACTTTTGATTTTAAATTAAAATATATTTTTATTAAATGATTGAGAAATGTTGCGTCATAATAAAAGAATTAAATGGCATATTTTACCAGGTAGGCATTTATGTATGACAAGGACAGTTAACCGTCATAGATATATGCCTCAACATTTCAGAGAATAGTTCCTCCTCCACATCTGGGATCATTACACTTCATTCAATTCATAATTAGTTCTCTAAAATCACAATAAATGTTAGGTGAGCCCAGGGAAGAGCAAGTTTTGATTTTGAATTAAAACAGTTTTCAAATGATAGAAAATGTTGTATCATAATAGAAGACTTAAATTGCAACTTATTTCTAGCGTTAACCAGCTAGGCGTTTATACGAAACTGACCAAATCCTGTGTGTGATAATGACAGTTACAATACATATACCTCAACATTTCAGAGAATAGTTCCTCCTCCACATCTGGGATCTTGATGTCCTCTTTCTCCGCCAGGGGGCCACACAACATGGCGTAGAACACACAACTCCGACTCGTCAGAACATATCGGTGAGCTCGGACTGGCGTCCCTTCTTTCCCAACCCTGAAGCTGACGTCACATGAATCCTCGGAGGTCAACATATGGAGGTTACACTCCGCCAAGGTCTTCCCACTTTGCCAGTTGTCAACAAATCCGGAGTTGTCTTCACTTACTTCCACAGATGCCATAGTGTTTCTGACTGTTGTCTGTTGGGACGATACTGAAAAGCAGAATTTTTACCGGAATCAAAACATTGCGTACTTTGCGAATATAAACTGAGAATTGTTCCACAGAATTTATGCCCTAACGACCGCATTTGCCTGTTGAGTGCGTGTTTCACAGAGTGAATGAGTGGTTCATGTTCCTAAATTCCTGTTCTAAAGCTCTTGGAAATAGGGTGAATATTTCCATTTTTCGCCAGACTAAGACTGTTTTGTTGATGCCTCACACCAAGTACGTATATAACATGGGCCTCCTGAGTACGACAATAGAGTGAGTGAGTTTAGTTTTACGCCGCTTTAAGCAATATTCCATATTCCAGCAATATCAAGGCGGGGGAAACCAGAAGTGGGCTTCACATATTGTATCCATATTCGATATGGCGAAGTCCTGGGATCGTTCGGGCAGTCATCACTGCTGTCTGAAACCTGTGGCGAAGATGGGTCACCCTTATCCATATGTCCTGTCTTGGCGATGTTACACGTGGACGTCCAGAACGTGGCCGATCGATGACGTCATTTGTGTTCTGGTAGCGTCTCACCAGTGCAGAAATGGTGTTCGGGTGGCAGTGGAAATGTGCAGCCACTTGCCGTTGAGACATTCCCCCACGGACCATCCCAATGGTCTCATGACGTTGTGCAGACGTGAGCCTTGGCATGCTATGCGTTTTATTAGCCGTTTAATTTTTTGAACGATCGCAAGGGCAGGGGTTGAGCTTTCCAAAGTGACAGTATTGTGTGGCATTCATTTGCTCTGTTTCTCTTTCCCGGAATGCACGTGCAACAACGTATTGCACGTCTCAAGGACGAACCCACTGACATCACGGAACGTGGCACGTGCATGCATGTTGGATACATGTCACCAATCTCTGAGTTTAAATCCATATGTGTCTACACAGGTTTGATAAATTTAGATTTTAAATTTTTGTATGCACAGTTTCTTTATGTGCCTAGAATAGATCAAACAGGTATCGATAAATTCCACATAGACAAGCAAGCCGTTACAACAGTTTGCATAGATCTGCAAGTTGTAGACATTCAATAAGCAGTGTACGAAACTCACCAAAATCTTGTACCTGGCCACGGGGCTGATAACGTATTAGGGGCAATGGGGTAGCCTCATGATCAAAGCGTCCGTTCGTCACACTGAAGACCCGGGCTCGATTCCCCACATGGGTACAAAGTATGCAGCCCAGTTCCGGTCTCCCCCGCCGTGATTTAATTTGAACTCACCCACTCACTGAAATATTATTCTATAAATAAGTTTATAACGAGAAAGCAGAAAAGGTATGTTTGACGAGATTTATCTAAATGCACGACTTCCACAAGCTGGTAACCTTTGACCCACTGATCCCACATCAAGGTCACAAATAACCTATATAGGCGTAGTGTCACGGGGTAAAGGCTAGAGATATCAATAGTGCACTAACTTTTTTGAATGGATCTTCGAAATATCAATAAGCAATTTCAAAACATACAAAATCCACAAATTGTTTAAATTAAGAAACACAAGTTTACTTGTCACAATGAACATATTACATTTCTTAACTTAAAAATATAGAAAATCCACTGTTTGTCACGTCCATGTATTAAGAACATAGAAATTCAAAACAATCTCATAATGAAGGTAGAGCGAAATATTACCAGAAAATGAAAATACCATTGCAATTTGTCAGCAAGGTTCCCCATTTCCAAGCAGCTGACAAGACATGCATCACTGTTTAACACTGGATAAAATCCACATTTACAAGCTTGAAAATGTCTTGGAAAGATGATGTTTCCAAGAAATTTCCAGTTTTGGAAAGATGATGTTTCCAAGACATTTCCAATTTTGGAAAGATGATGTTTCCAAAAATTTCCAATGTTGGAAATGTGAGATTTCCAATTTTGGAAAAATCCGCAAGGGGAGATAACTGGTGGGTGATGGTAAATTATTGTTCTGCATGGGCTAATTGCTGTAGCGGCATGAGTGTTTCATGGGGGGCGTTATGGCGACTGGCGGTAGTCTTTGATGTTTAGTGTTGTTTTAGTAATGATTGTTTAAGGGATTTACGAAAGGATTATCGACTTGACTAGTCGAAATTGCAGTGGTGAACACATTTTAAATGCTCAATGTTTGGGTGAAAAGTGAATTTTGTCACGTTTAGTTTAAATATGTGTCATCGTAAGCATATATCTAGTGAGTGAGAGTTAATTTCGTACAAGGGCCACTCACCCGTTATACAATTATAAAGATGACAATACAATCCAGCGCCATATATAATATTAAGCTGTATGCTAACATGTACAATGTCTCATTTAATCTTATACTCAAAAACCTCGCTCTTTTTTGTCAATGCAAGAAATATAAACTTAGCAAGATTGTTAACAGTTGTAGAATTGCAAGACAATAATAAGTTGATAAATTTAGTTTCGCATGGATTATTTATGTCGTATTGTGGGAGCAGGCTGTTTCTCAGATCATAGTAAAATGAACATTCAATAAAGAATTGGTATTCTGATTCAATGGTGTACAATACACAGAGGGCAGAATCGCTCATGTTGTTTTATATTTACTTTTCGCCCATATTAAAACATTAAAGGATGGTCTGAACAACGAAACTTACTCAAAGCAAAACGAATCGTTGCGTTGCCGTCAATCGTTGCGTTGCCCTCCTAGGGGGTCAAGTGATGGTGTCACCATGCACTAATTTCCACCGGACCCCGTAGTTCGTGCTAAATGGGTTATGTTTGTGAGTGCGAAGCGAGCGTTGTGGAA